AAGTCCGCGAGCGCGGCTGAAGTTTCAGTCGGGCTCGAATGAAGGTCGTTCGAGTTCTGCGGACGGGAGGTTGCGCCGAAGTGGAGGTGTGCACCCTCGGGTACACTTCAGGGAGTTGGGCCCTTCGTCTGGTGCAACCGAACACTTCTAGTCAGCTTAGTCATTTTTTACAGTTTAAGTCAACAGTTTTATGCCACCTTTTTACGCAGCCCATGTTTTTCTTAGCTTCATAGTTTTAAACTTTATTTTCTAACCAGGTTTTATGCGGGTTATTCTGCAATGGAACTGTAGAGGCTTACGAACTAGTGCCCAGGATTTACACACTGTGCTAAATCACCGCTGTCCGGTTGCTGTCTGCCTCCAGGAGACGAAGCTGTCGCCGGATTCCCACTGCACCATCAAAGGTTACACGATATTTAGAAAAGATGTGCTACCAGACACTGTGGAGCACGGTGGTGCGCTTGCATCATGTCCGCACCTCATGGAAGAACGTCGACGATACTTTGAACAGCGTGACTCGTCCTTGACGCTCTGTGATCTTTTAGGAGACATTTCGCGCCTTCTTGAATCTAAACAGGTATTTTTATTCCTTAAACATTTCAACTTCGGGACTCTTTACACGGTCCACTAGTTAGGTAAAGCAAAAATCGTTTTGGGCGCCAAATGACCACCGCAGTCGGCGCGCCCGAAAACGCCAATCAACAACAACAACGCACACCATACCTTTTGGGGTTGTGATAACAGCAACGCGCGGGGACGTTCTTTAGAGCAATTTATTCGCGAAGAGTCGCTCTGTGTTTTAAATGCGGGATCTCGAACGCATTTTACGTTACCGTCAGGTCAGATGTCGGTTTTGGACCTAAGCCTGGTGAGTCCGCAGCTCGCGCAGCTTTTTACGTGGACTATAGCTGACGACCCTATGAGAAGCGACCACTTCCCAGTGTGTTTGGAGTACTATGACGGAGCGGTCCTCGGCCCTCGGCCACGACGATGGAATCTTAAAAAAGCAGATTGGAGCGAGTTTCAGTCTCAGTTAGAGAGGGACTTTGGTGCACAGGCCGTGGATGGTGCAAACTACTCGATCGAACATTTCACGTCCGCCTTTTTACGTGCAGCGAACGCGAGCATCCCAAAGACATCTGGAGCTCCTCGTCGCACCCCGGTGCCGTGGTGGACTGACGAGTGCCGAGCTGTTATCCGGGCACGTAGGTGGGCCTTTCGGGCTTTCGACCGTCATGCCACAACCGATAACTTAATCGCATTTAGGAAGGCGAGAGCTTTGGCCCGGCGCACGATCCGGGAGGCAAAACGCGTCTCCTGGCAAGAGTACGTGGGACGCCTGCATCGTTTCACTCCCACGTCTCAAGTATGGTCGCAGATTAAGCGTATCTCTGGGCAGTTTTCCGCGGTTCCGCTACCGGTTCTTGAGGTTGGTGGGCGGGACATTTTACATCCTGCTGACGTCGCCAACGAGATCGGTCGTGCGCTTGCGGAACGGTGTGGAGACGGTAGCGTTGATCCCCAGTTCCTGCGTCATAAGGCGCGTCGGAGGCCAGTCCAGTGGACTTTTCCACCTCTGCGCACCTTGCCTACAACGAACCATTTACAATGGTGGAACTGAGGGCTACTGTTCGCAGGCTTCGGAGCGTATCAGAGGGTCCTGACGAAATACATAACGACATGATTTGACATCTACCCGTCTGCGTACTGCACGTTCTTTTGGCCATTTTTAATCGTCTTTGGGAACTTTGGCGAGAAGCTGTTGTTGTACCCCTTTTAAAGCCAGGTAAGAGCGGCAAAGATCCGCTTCACTACAGGCCCATCTCCCTTACATCTTCACTGTGTAAGCTGATGGAGAGACCTGTCAATGGCCGTCTTTCATGGTTTTTAGAGAAACATGCAATTTTTACTGATCTTCAGTGTGGTTTTAGGAAACGCCGTAGCACGCTGGACCATCTTCTTATCTTGGATACTATTGTCCGTGCCGCTTTTAAACAGCGTCGTCATCTGGGAGCTGTCTTCTTTGACATAGAGGGCGCTTATGATACCACATGGCGACATGGTATACTTATGAAGGCTTTTAAGCACGGTATTCGTGGTAACATAGGCTGTTTTTTACAGAACTTCTTAGCGGAACGTTTTTTCCGTGTCCGTGTTGGTTATCAGTTTTCTGATCGTTTCATACAACGGAGCGGTGTGCCCCAAGGTGGCGTTCTAAGTGTCACGCTTTTTGCGCTTATGATCAATGACGTCGGAGATGCATTACCTCAGTCGATTGGTCGCTCGCTGTTCGTCGACGATCTTGCGATCTGGTGCAGCTCTTCTCTGACCTCAGCGATGGAGCGTCAGCTGCAACTAGCTGTAGCATGTTTGGAGAGATGGGCCACGCTGAATGGTTTTCGTTTCTCCACGTTGAAAACAACGGGTGTGCACTTTTGTCGCCGTCGTGGTCACTGCCGGGATGCAGCGATCCGACTGTATGGCGAAGCGATACCATTTGAGCCCGTGGTTCGTTTCCTGGACGTGCAATTGGATCACCGCCTTACTTACAAAGTCCATATAAAGGCGTTGCGAACCAAGTGTTTTAAAGCCCTGAATGTCCTGAAATGCATTGCACGCACGTCTTATGGTGCGGACAGGAAAACACTCTTGCTCTTCTATCGCTCTCTTATCAGATCCAACCTCGACTATGCTTCTTTTGTTTATGACGGCGCTTGTGAGTCGGTAAAACGCTCATTGGACACGATACATCATACAGCCTTACGTATCGCAACAGGTGCATTCAGGACCTCTCCGACAACGAGCCTCCTTGTTGAGGCCCACGAGCCCTCTTTGTCCACTAGGAGAAAGGTACTGGGCATGCCATACGCTTGTAAGTTGGCGCAGTTCCCCGATCACTCAACATACAAGTGGGTCTTCTCTCGCCGCACAATACGCATGCTTCTCACTGGGAGTGCACATCAGATCGCACCTTTCTGTGTGAGAACTTTCATACTTTTGAAGGGGTGTGGCATTCGCACACGGCATGTGATTCGTTGAGAAATTCCCGAGACTCCTCCTTGGAAGCTCTATCCACCAGCGATAGATATCTCACTTTCCCATTTCGAGAAGAGGCAGGTGTCTCCGGATGAGTCTTTAGAGTTGATTGTGTCATACCCTGATCACAAGAAGACCTACACGGACGATTCGAAAGCGGATGCCGGTGTTGGATGTGCTTTTGTCCAAGGTCCTGTTGCACGGTCTTTTGCTTTGCCTGGTCACGCATCGGTGTTCACATCCGAGCTAATAGCCATTCTTAAAGCATTCCATTTCATAAAAGTTGACAGTGACGACCAACACTTAGTTTTATCGGACTCTCTTAGTAGCCGGATGGCTCTGCAAGATTTAGATTCATCACATTCCATCGTTCAGAACATTTTAACTCTTCTTACTACACCGTCGCGATCCGGGAAGTAGGTGGTATTCTGCTGGATACCAAGCCACGCTGGCATATCGGGTAATGGAGCGGCTGATGCCGCAGCAAGGCGTGTCACACGCGCATCTGGGATCCTTACGATGACAGTCCCAGCTAACGACCTATATGCAGTGGTATCTGCCTTGATGTTGAAGCAGTGGCAAGCGAATTGGGGTGTGCATGCTGCCAATAAACAGAGGGAGATAAAACTCCTTTTGGGACCATGGGCGTCCAGCTGTCGTAGGGTGAGGCGGGAGGGAGTGACGCTATGCCGCCTGAGAATAGGCCACACATGTGCAACTCACCGATACCTATCATGCGGGGAAGACCAACCGCAGTGTCCTCGCTGCGGGGATCGTTACACCGTACGACATGTCTTGATCGATTGTGCCCACCTCGCCTTGGATCGTATGCGCCATTTTGGATCTGGGTCCTTGCGTCCAGCGCTCTGTGGTATTTTGGGAGACGATTCCAGCTCAGTACATGACGGTCATATGTTTAGTTATCTTGAAGACGTACAATTTCATGCCGCATATCGAACGAAACCTTATATCTCCGCTTTTCCAGGCAACTGTTAGATAAAAAGTAGGTTATGGGCGCCATTTTACCAACGTAGTCGGTGCGCCCCAAAGCCCAGATCATCATCATCATCATCATCAGAAGCCGCTCGGGGTGTCATCTCGTTTGGGAGGACCTCGCTGGCGTGTCGTGGAGCTGAGCCACTGAGACGGTACAGGGTCAGCTGCTGAGGTGTCAGACGGTACAGGGTTAGCCGCTGAGGTGTCTGTGGTACAGCGTCAGCCGCTTAGGTGTCAGACGGTGCACGTTCAACTGCTGAGATGTCAGACGGTACAGGGTCAGCTGCTGAGGTGTCAGACGGTACAGGGTTAGCCGCTAATGTGTCAGACGGTACAGGGACAGTTGCTGAGGTGTTGGACGGTGCAGGGGCAGCCCCTGAGGCGTCTGTGGTACAGGGTCAGCCGCTGAGGTGTCAGACGGTGCAGGTTCAACTGCTGAGGTATCAGACGGTGCAGGGTCAGCCATTGAAGTGTCAAGACGATATAGGGGCAGTTGCTGAGTTGCCAAACGGTACATGATCAGTTGCTGAGGTGTCAGACGGTATAGGGGCAGTTGCTGAGCTGTCCGACGGTGCAGGGGCAGCCCCCGAGGTTTCGGTGGTGCAGGGTCAGCTGCTGAGGTGGCAGACGGTGCAGGTCAGCCACTTAGGTTTCAGACGGTGCAGGGCCAGCTGCTGAGGTGTCAGACGGTGCTGGGCCAGCTGCTGAGGTGTCAAACGGTACAGGATCAGCTACTGGGGTGTCAGGCGTTGCAGGGTCAGCCGCTAATGTGTCCGCCTCGCTCCGCGGCGGTGCGGTGACCGATGCGGCGCTGTTGCAGATTGGCCGCCGTCGCTGCCGCCGGTGACGCCGTTCGCCGGGCGGCCGGGTGCTGCCACCTGTCGCCCGCGGCCACACGCGTGCTCCGAGTGCGGCAAGGCGTTCCGGGTGGCCACCTCGCTGTACCACCACATGGCGGTGCACCGCGGTCAGACCACGTGTCCGATCTGCGGCCGCGTCTTCTCGCGCCGGCCAGACCTGGTGGTCCACCTGCGCCAGGTGCACGCTGCTCAGCGGCCCTGAGGCCACGCACCCAGGTCACAGGCTCGGGCAGTGGCGGTGGGCGGCCCCGGCCGGCCCTGCAGTTCCAGCTGTACCATTATCTACGTCACTCCTGTGGTTAGGCCGGAGCGGCAGCCCACTACCTGGTCGCGTCCGGCGGCGATGGGTGTGCGGCCGCCATTTTGCCGCGAGCGTCAGCGCGTGGGACGCGCCCGGACGCCGGATGAGGCGGGGCGGTGCCGTTCAGGCACGCGCGTCGCCTCCCCGTGGCGCAAGCCTGGGGAGGCGCGCTGCCAGACGTCCGATGGGCCGGCTGAGTCTGGAAGTTGGGGCCCTATGAGTTGACACTGGGCAACGTTCGCGCCCAGGATGTGTTTACTTGAGGCGTTTTGAACATTGGCGTCCACTGCGAGTCAGTCCTATGCGGCATGTTTATACTGTGGCGTGCTGATACCGGGTGATATGGGCGGAGTATACGTCACTTTTCGTGTCAGGAGCGTTGCTTATTTATTTGCGTCCTTTGGACTACGCGAGACCGAACGAACAGAAAGACTGGTCAAGACGAATGTCGTAATATACAATTGTATGCTGTGGCCAGCTTTGTTGTGTGACTGGGCATGGATGACGCATGATTCTTCACCCGCAGTGTATGATAAGTACGGAAGTGTATTGGATTTCATGGGAACAGTAGAGGAACGGATCTATCGGCCGTAGGAACGGCACCAATTCCAACTTTTTAAATTAACGTCGGCCTTGCCGGATTGTGCTCAGGTACCCTATGGCGCCGGCCAGTGAGCGGCTCATCCAAGTCTGGTGGAGTGTCGTTTGCCAGAAAAGCAAGTCCGTTAATGTGATTATGTGGGTCAGATGTCGACCTACCTCAGATGTACTTAGCTTTCCTAGGCCCGCGTCGGACCTCTCCACCGCCAACCGGGGGAAAATCGGGAGCGAACTTATGCACAAGCGTTTAGAAATGGTGTGCAATGAAGGGCGGGGAAGGGGGGGGGGGGGAGGAGCAGCTTTTAGATGCAGCAGTAAAGCGTCGATTTACAAGTCACGTTAGGTTCTTTTAATGAGGATTGGGACTCGGAATGCCTCAGCGTTGAACGTCAAGAAGCGGGTGGAAAGTCGAATAAAAACTAACGTGCATTGCCCAGTAACGCGCCCGTGGTTGATTTTGTTTTCAATAAATCGGAAGCGCCTTTTCAGCTGTTGGTAAATTAGACACTTCTGGCAGCTGATGATGTGTTTTGGATAGTAGGTAAATCCATCGAAAAAGTGTGTTTTTACAGATCCAAGTCGTGTTGCAACAACCCTCACAGACGTGCCGTATCGCGATGTAAATAGAAGCGTGTTGCTGTTGTGTGTGATGGCAACGCTACACCATACCGTCGTACTTTTTTTGTTGTAAGCCTTTCAGTGCCTTGCCAGGTAAACGTCTATGGCGTGCGCACTGTTTATGCGTGGAGTGAATTGAATGGTGGTTACCCTGCTATATACAAGGGGCCCATATACGACACATATAGGAACACCTACTTACAGGGGAAACATGTATAGTTAACTGCAGTATACCGTGCGTCATAAAACACATTTATCATCGACACTATCACTGCGCACGTTTGTGTCACATGTATTGCTGAAACCACGTGCATGCCATTTTGATGAGATAGCTTTTCGTTCGGTTGATGTCAGGGTACTGTGGCAAGGCCAGAAGCTGGACTAGCTATTTGTCCACTCTGGCTCGGTGCACATGAGCATACCGATGCCCTTAATCGTGCACCCAGATGCAGGGACCAGCGCAACGTAACAACGCCAGACTCGTCGTTTCGTATAATGTTGTGTTTGTATGTTGATCGTTTGAAATTTAACATGATGTAAATTGATAATCAGTTTCAAAAAATAAGTTTAAGCTCCACACCAGTTTAATTAATGATCCATTTCTCAAATTCTGGATTACATTATTAAGCCAGGCAAAATTTTACTAATTCGCTGAAATTTGAGTGAGGCCAGGTGCCAGGCTAGCTCTCGAACTGTAGAAAGGCTGCATCGGCGCCCCGCATATAGTGGCATTGTGAACAAGCATGTGCTGCGTTGTTCAATTACTATCGAGCTCCACGTTCAGAAGAGCTTTATTGATCGTCTGAGCCCGCTTCAGAACCGCCATCTGAGCGACGAAATGAATCCCTACAGGTCAGTGGGCCCGCAGCAGTAACGCGATTCACAGGTTACATTGGAATCGGGACAATAACACATCGGCGTCTCCACGCCCAACGCGGGGCCGCCGGCCTAGTCGCTACACCGTCTCGTCAGCGATGTAGAGCAGTCGGTCGGCCGGTCGGCACCGGTGTGAGCACATCGGAGATGTGCGTTGGGCATAGTGGCCGTATACTTGTCGGCCACGTACTGGCCGGCGTTGACGGCCGCGTAGCCGGCGGCGGCCGACGGCGGCGCCACCGTCGTCATGTCGTCTGGGTGACTGAAGAAGGCGAGCGTGAGGCGGCCGCTGCCCCTGCGCCGCTCGTCCTCAGGCATAAGAACGCGGTGCTTGGTGGCCATAATCTCGCCGCCCGTCCAGATTTGCATCAGGTCGCCGACGTTGAGGAATACGGCGCCCGGCACCGGCTCGGCGGCTACCCAGCGACCGGAGCGGCTGAGCACCTCCAGGACGCCCAGCCGGTCTTGCACCAGCAGGGTCACGCTGCCCCAGTCCGAGTGGGTGGCGCAGCGTACGGCTCCGGGCGGTGCGCGGCCGTTTACAGGCGGGAAGTGGACGACGCGCAGCACAGCGCCGCTGAGCGGCCCCAGCTGTCCCCGGTGGCTGCCGGTCAGCAGGCCGGGCCGGTCCAGCGCGCACTCCAGCGCCGCCAGACTCACGGTCTCGCACGCCGTCATCAGCTGCACCAGATCCCGGCCGAAGGCGGGCGCGTCGGCCGTCGGCAGGTCCTCGCCGCAAGGCTTCATGTCCCACGACTCCTTCAGTTCGTACTGGCTCTTGCCGGCGGCCTCGGAGCGCGACAGCACCTCCTCCTGTATCGGCATGTAGCCGTTGACGCCGTTACGCACGAAGCGGTGACACTTCATCTTGGTCTCCAGCGGCAGCGCAAAGAAGGCGCGAGCCGACCGGTCGATGGACTGGAGCAGCGAGTCAGGGATGCCGTGGTTGAGCAGGTACACGAACCCGATTCCCTTCAATGCCCCGCCAATCTCGTTTCCCAGCTGGCGATGATGCTCTTTTGCACTGAGACAATCGGCACCTGGAGGCAGCAGATAGTTGAGCGTGAAGGGGGACTGACATTCCTGGCTTTGTGCTGTCCGTTGCGCATTACATTTGCCGATTTAGATGTGCGACTCAAGGCAATGTCGGTGTTTGGCAGTTATCGAAGGTTGCCACCTGTAAACGCCGTTCTGTTGAGACATTCATCTCGGGAGTTGCTGCTATTCAGCGTCACATTGACGCTGTGGAGCGGTAATAGTCCGACCGCCAGTCTGGACGCCGTATGACCAACGTCGTGGGTGCACCCCAAAGCCCAAATAATCATCCGACTGCCAGTCACCGGATATATCAAATTTAAAATGAGTGTGACTCGTGACGCGAAACATTGGTGTCACTTTAAAATCGACCATTGGCTCACCCACACAAATATGTTCCAGGTTATCTAGCTACACCGTTTTACCGAATGGGAAGGGCGGCCAGTCATGCCCTTGGTCAATGGCCTAAAATGAGACTGGACCTCAAATCGGAACTTTAGTCAGACAGGAAACCGACTGTCCTCAGACGGTCATTGAGTCTGTCCCCTGGGTCAGCAACTCGATGGCTTCATAGGTACATTGCCCTCCACTCACTCAGCCAACGAATAAGGTGAGGTAACTTGTCAGAAATGTCAGGGGTATGCATGCGCCCTGCTAGTCTGGAATGCCAGTGGAATGTCAGGGGAAAACATGCGCTGCGCACTCCGGCGCAGGCTCTCGGTCAGCAATAGACAATGAATTCGGCGGTAATGTAGCGCAGTTGCTGTTACGGTGCTCAACGTGTCGCTTTCTGAAATCCCGCGCGCCCTGCCGATGAGGTTAATCTACTTCACCCCCTAAAACCTAATCCCCCCGAATTTCGGCAGTTCGTCTCCATTTTCAAAACTTCAAAACTAACACTTCTTTTGATCGATTGACTTACGCTGCGAATGAATGTACCCCTAATGGTGCGCACCGGTGTGCAGCTGCAATTTTATAACAAGCTTAGAATTGGTAGTATTCTACAAAAAAAACAACTTCTGTTTGAGACGACTCTGTATGATAACGCGATTGGTCACGTTTCCCTTTGATCAAGTGTAGTCACAAACGCAAAATGGTGATTTAAGCAGGGCGACGTGGCTCGACGCGTGCTTACAAGATGCTATGAAATATTCGTGCATACTGAAAGGGGTACTCAAAACCAAGAGTAAAGCAGAAAATGTGCAACGTTTCCATGCGACGCGTCGATAACATGAAGGAAAGAGAGGGCAGAGGATGGTACAAAACCACGAGAAATATGGAGTGGGGTGGGGGCTGAACCCCAGCTTTCTGGAAAGTTAGTATTGACGGAATGGGCGTTGACTGGCAAGACATGACCTAAAATGGGTACCGTCTCCCCAACTTCAGTGGACTTACATTGCACATGGCTGCTGGTGACCAGATCAACGGTCTTAAAAGTATCGCCACTAGCGCTTTGCCGCGAGTTGGAAGTGATACCAGAAATGGCATTGTGGGTAATGGTAAGAAGGCAACGTCCAATAGCAGGCAAGGTTCAGCACCCCAACCCACAAACTGCCAGCGCCGTGGTATGCTGCTCACTTTCTGCACTGCGGATGGTCAGCAGCCCAAATGTGGTAAGGAGCCATGTGGCCACGCCTGATGCGCCGTGTACAACGCCCCTAGCCTTCTGTGACGGGCACAGTTCCCCTGAACACAGTTCCGTTTGAACCATGATTCCGATTCCTGATTCCTTGATTTTGACGTGAATAGTTACGGTACTTACTGGCTTTCAACATGTGACTGTATTCATTCAACTGTTTTGGGTCTTACCCTGTATGTAGTACCAAATTAGCGTAGTACTGATGGCGATGAGTTTATATACCTTCTCAAATAGTACTGTGGTGTATTCAGGTATTGAGGTGGATGGATCAGGTACTAGCAATTTAGGGATGTTTTGCTTGATTTTCGTGGCTCGATCTTCCCATATTTTTCCCAAGGCCGCAGTGTCATGTTGTGTGATTTTTTGCACATTGAGAAACAGGCAATTTTCATCGAACTACTTCGTCACGAAATGAAATAGTTTATTGATCATGATCTCTGGTTCATTAAGCTGTTTGCGGTTAAGGTATGATGGCAGTATGAGCCGCATATGGTAGGCAGCATTTTTTTTAGCTAAGTTGGGGCAAGTCACTGATGCAAATTTAGAAGAAAAGTGGTCCAAGTATTGATCCTTGAGGAACACCGATAGAGACGTCCAACAAATTATATCTTGAATTTTTGACTTGATATTGCTTTCTATCGGATAAGCAGAACACAGTTTTGTGTGCTTGATGTTTCATCCCATACTTGTAAAGCTTTTTAGTTATTATCTCGGTATGCACTTTGTCGAAAGGTTTCCTTAATTCAAAAACCAGACCTACCGCACATTCATCATGATCTAAAACCTATGTGGTTTGATTTTGCGTAGTTAGTATGGGCTTGCATGTACTTTCGTTCTCTTGAAATACAGCTAGATTTTTATGAACAATTTTGTTTTTTATGCGCGTGGAGAATGAGTCGCTTGTATCCTAACTTTGCTAGTATCGTGGACAAAAAAGGCAGGATGTTTATCGGTGGATAATTGTGAGTTTGTGGTCGACCACCCTTAAATATAGGTTTAGAAATAACTTCATGACCTTCGAAAAATTACACTCGAAATACCGCTGCTATTGGAACGTTTTAGATGACTTCGAATAACCAGCTATGTTTCCTGAGTATTTTGGCATTTATTTCATCATATCCTCTCCAACATTATTCAAAGTATTGATAATCTCCGTTTTCTCTCATCAGTTAGGTATAAATCCACTTCATTAGGGATCCTATGGATCACTTCCAGTAGATTCAGGGGTGACACATGAATATCATCCTAAGTCTTTGCCCGATTTCCGAGAAAAAAATGATAAGTGAATCTGCAACATCTGTATCAGATGCTAGTGTTTGATATATTCCATCATGCATACTTTTGAAAGATTGTCATTTTTTGGCCTGTCTTTGATCAACCTTGACAGTCTTTTCCACACTTTTGGGAAAATGTGTTACAGATTTTTGTTTCAGCACAGTAGTCTCTTGTTTTCATTGTTAATGAAATTTGTCAGGGTATTCCTGTACTCGTTATAATCATTTGCTTGTTTAACTTCTTTTCGAACAGCTCATTATTTTGAGCAATGAAAATGAGTAGAGCAGGTGTGGCCCATGTATTTATTGGGGTAGACTTCCTTCAATTTGACTTTTTCCGTGAAAATTTAGCCAGTCCATCGTTGCAAGTAGCTGTGATCCAGGTTTCAACGATATCAGGGCCTGTCGCGTCTTGAATTCTAGATAGTTCCTGGAAATGGAAGTCTTAGATTCATTCAGTTTGTGATAGCTGAATAAAGTTTTCCAGAGCAGAAGATGAAAAGTTTTAGTTTGATCCAGATGGGTAAAACCGGGAAGTGATTTGAAGTCATGCAAGAAAATGCCTGAGGTGCCCACCTTGACAAGGTTAATTTGAATGACGTTGTCATGGCGTCATTGGCACATGCTAACCTTGAAAAAGGCTGCGCGAAGTCTGCTTATATTTATGGCCGTGTGTGTCAGAAATTTGGAGGCTTTAGTTAGGTATTAAGAACACGACTGTGAACTGCACCGAATGATCTTTAAGGTGGCCATCTCAGTTCAAGCCCCCGTACAAATACGGAACACTACCCGCAGGGGCACCGGCTTCGACCGGTGTAGGGCACTAGCGCCCCCTCGGGTCCCAGCTCCGGAAACGGGTGGACAGCGCAAGCTGGTCCTCTCAGGGCGTAGCGACCCTGCCGGTACGTGAGCTCCTGCTCCCTGTCCCGCCCGCTCCCTCCACATTACCCGCACTCCCGCATCCGGCCCTATCACCACTCCTCATCCTCGTTTTATCGGGGTCGCCGTGCCCCCTCGCCCACGTCCCCGGGTTGATGGGATCCTGGTGGCTGAGGGGCGCGTCGTGCGGGTCAGTCACGGCGCGTCCCAACACTCCACTTTGGCCAGGATATCCGGAGGCATGGGGGGCCCGTGGGGCCCCACACGGGTCTAGCGGCTTGTCGCTCGCGTTGCGGTTGGGTGCTCCTGGCGGGCTTCCGCTTGGGGCGCCTGGCCGCGCGCAGCGGTTTAAGAGTCAAGGGGCGGCGGCGCTGAACCACGGTCAGGAAGAGAGATTTGCGATTCAGAGAGATTTGCGATTTGCGATTCAGAGAGAGTGCATTGTGTGAATTCTGACAAGGACCAGGCTCTGCACGCGACTTACGACCGCACGTGCCCAGCGTACGTGAAGGAAAAATAAATTATATTCATTAAAACCACACGCAACATCTCTTTTCAAGAGGCCAGAACATTGTACGAGGAGAGCCACCCACGAACATTGTACGCCGAAAAAGCTAAGACCTCCAACGCACGTCCGCCCTCCACTGATCAAATGACCGCTGCCCAGTTTGTAGCGCTCTTGAAGTCGTTTGGTCTCTCGGTTGTGTCGACGAACCAGGCGCTGGACTCCAATCTGGCAGCCCTGGCTCCCCCTTCCTTGCTGGAGCGGTCGAAGGAGACCGTGCTGGCAACCTCTTCGCCCCCTGGCCGGTCGGCACCCTCCGCGTTGCCGACTCCCACGGCACCGCCGTCTCCTGCCGGAGAGGAGGGCTGGACGGTGGTCCGGCGTGGCCGTGGCCCGCGGGCTCCACCGGCCTCCGCATCGGTTTCCTCACCACCTTCGTCCGCCTCCGCCTCCCTTCGTCACCTCCGACACCATCAGCGAACACATGTGGGCTGGCGATAGAAACGTTGGAGCGGCACGAGGCGGACAGGCGCGCCCGCGATGGCAAGCGGGCGCGCCTGGCCGAACAAGAGCGGGCAAAGGCAGCGAACCGTATGTCTGGGGCAGGCAAGGAGCCCGTCCCCCGAAGAAGTACTCCATCGCCACGGAGGCCGGTGGAGGCCCTCGCTGGTCCCTCGAACCCCGGTAGAGGTCCACCGATGGGCCCTC